AAAGCCAGGTAGGATTAAGTCACAGGATCTCATTTTTATAATATAATTTATATTGTGTGTAACGCCGCTTTGTAGATGTTAAAATTACAAGTTAAACTGTTTTGGCTACGAAAAGTTCATGTGCGAGGTGCTAAGGAATAGTTAGTGCAAAAACAAGGGTACACGCATTACATCACAAGGGTTCGATATAGCAAGTGTGACACCGCATATGTACATTTTAATTATTAAAAAGTTATTAAAAAGAAGGAATCAATAGAAAGTCTTATTTTATTTGCATCGATTTGTTTAGAGGCAGCGGGAGGGACTAAATCTGATTGATACTTTACTTTAGGTATCTTCCAATCACTAGTTCAGACAGACTAAATTCGGTCGTTCAAGCGCTACGTAAATTAGATATTTCATCGAGCACTATCCTAGCATTATGTGCATATTGATCTCTTTTGTCACCTTTCGGGAATCTACACAGATATTTGGGCCATATAATATCTTCCAACATGGATGCAGCATTGTTATCGCTACGATTAGATTTATTTTCAAAAACCAATAAAGTATGTTCCTCAACCAAACCTCTGAGAACAAGCCATGTAGTATTTGCATCTCTATTCGCTAACTCTCGGAATAATTCCAGTGCCGCTTCTTGAAGATCTTCGTGAATATCTTCACTCAAAAACGGCCACATTCTGTCAATGATCTGTGAAATCACTTGATTGGATAACAAAACGCGACGCGCCACCACCTTCATCGTCTCCAAGATTACTTTTTTAATTCTGTGCGATCGCGAGAATGCATAATTCGATAGATCTAAATATTCTTTATCACTGGTTGCTTGTTGCGAGAGCAGATCTTGAAAAGATGGCCAAACGTCCTGAACTACTCGACTGGTGAAAAAATCTCCACACGAGATGGAAACACCCTGAATAAGTCGAGCAGCACCTAAAACGACATACTGTTCGTCGTCTCTCAACCTGTTAACCACAGAAGGCCAAATCCTATGGACCAAGGGATAAAGTTCATTAGGAATCGATTGTAAGACAGGCAGGGCGATGCGTATGATATCTAAAACCAAAAAACGCAATTGCGGTGATGCTGATGTAAGTGAATGGAGCACTTTGTCAATAATTTTAAGGCAAGTTGATTGTGACCTTGTCGGTTTGGGTTTACTGTCGGATGTTTCGTCGTCAGTAGGAATCCTTTCGGAATCATTTTCATGCTTAGGAACATCATCAATCTCGCCGTCCCCTGCTTCCTCTTTTGATTTATGAATGTTTAAAAAGTACTGTCCTATTTCCTCTAATGTCGCGTATTCCTCTTTCGGCAAATTGGCGTGGGCGTCCTGTGAAGAGTGACTCGCAATGAATTCTTCAATTTCTTTAGATATTCCAGCATTGGCGTGACTGTGTGAAGACAAACAATCATCCTCTAAAACAGTGACCTTGGAATTACTCACTTCAACGAATTCATTTTTATGGGAATTGGCAATAACACTAACCGCAGCAAATAGGACAGTTGTCAATTGACATAACAAATGGAATTTCATGTGATGCGCATCTAGCGCTTCGAATATTTCCTCTATCGAATCATCCAAGTACGAAAGCAGAGGGTGCCCGACGATTCGTATCATTGCCGTGAGCACCTGTGGCGTTCGTGAATCCAGGGCGATGTGATTCAACTTTCTTGAGACGGCGTTGACAAGATAGTCGGCATTTTCAAAAACCAAATTTTTTTTTGACGAATAACCACACCATATCGCGACATGATGAAGCGCGACATCAGCGGTGCGATGTACTCGACTATTGGTTTCACCGACTTTTTCAAGAATGGGATAGAGTGCGTCTATTAATTCTACCTTAAACTCCTTGGCCATCACGCGAGCTATGCATGCAATTCCTTCAAGTATAAAACAGTTTATCAAAATAAAACGATTCTGTGATTCAAGGCTCTTATTTATCGACGATTTATCGGTGAGTCCGATGGTCAAATCGGTTGCGGTCCTTTTGTCTCTGTGGGATTTGACCAGGGACTTTGAATCTTCTACTAATTCTAGCGTCGTCGCACTCATTTCCAAGTATTCTCTTAATAAGGATTTTGCAATTCTCTTAGCATCGTCCACTGCGTTGGTCGGATTTGCTGTTTCCAAATTTTCAAAATTAATTTCAATTCCAGATGCTCCGAGCAACAATTCATTTACAATGAATATGCATTGTGCATGAAATCTTTTGGAATCCGCATCTCTCACATATGCAAGGAAGTGTTCTATCAAGAACTCAACTTTTCCAAAGTATCCAATCAAACGAATGACCGTCGATATTGTGGATATTACGCGTCGCTCACGTATATACTTATACTTGCGATGAGGAAAAGGGGGTAACGAGTGGTCCAGCGCATGAACACTTTCTGGAACAAAGGGCTCCTCCGCGAGGTCTTCGTATTGTCCAATGAGAAGTCGATCTTCTATTATACGAACATCCTCAGTATCGAATTCCAGGGCATTTAGTAGCCCATCGGAAACTCTCCGCAACAAAATATTTATGACTGTCTGTATTTCCGATCCCAATAGAAAAACAAATCCCGCGACTAATGTCAATGCATTATATTTCGCATTTTCGTCGAGGCCGACCAAGTACCTTGGTAAAGATGTGAGCCAAGAATTTAACCCTTCCTTTAGGTTTGGAGTTAAGATCTCATTGAAGTTTGGATGCATGCGTAACTCTTTCAAATATCCCTTGCACGGTATTGAAACCTGCTCGTAGTCATCATTCAGGTAGAATACCAACGTTTCAATTAATAACGATGCACAATTGTCCAGAGAATTAAGGCAATAAAACAGAAGATTGTGTGAGAATTTCACGAAAGCCAGACGAAGCTGCCACGAAGAATGATTTCGAATAGTGAATATATGCCCAATTAAAATTTTAATCTGCATTTTGGTTGCTCTGAGCCATGATTTCGTTCTCTCTACGTAAATTGTTGCTGATGTCGCTGGAGGAGGTGTGGACGAGGATGTCTGCAAAGTGTCACTCGTCCTAAACGATGTTGGATCGCTATTGTCACGAAAACTATCCGAGCTCGCCCAAACGTCCTTTAAATCTCTCAAAGAGTCCGCCCTATAAAATAAACCCTCGTTTACTTTGTCATTCATGACAATTCGAATAATAATAGTTAGAGCCTCCACTGTCTTTACTAACAGCATGTGGTTTTCCTTTTGATCCCTGACCATGGTCTTACTCAATGTGCTCAACACCCCGGGTAAGAATGCCGCCACAATTCCTGGATCTTCAATGCATTTGATCAGTTGTTGCAATGCTTCTACGGCTGTTAATCTCAGTTGAAGGAAACGCTCGTTTGCAATGATTTCTAGCAGCACATACACACAACGACCAACAACTGCTCTTAACTTCATGTCGCGGAGTTCTGTTAAAAGTAATTCACGACGTATGGGTTGAAAGTTATCAAAATCGTGATCCGATTGCTGAGGCAGTAAATCCAAGATGCATTTAACTCCTGCAAGCTTTGTTTCCTCCGAAATAAAATTGTTCTCTATTAATTTTTCTTCTTTGACGCTTTCTTTCGATCCGGATGAAAGCGACCCTCCAATAATACTAACGAACAAAATTAGCAGTTGCTTGAACTGATCAGGCATCATGTAATTGTGCCAGCTGGTAGATAGCAAAAATTGAATACAATTCAAAAATCCTTCAAGAAACCTATCGCTCTCTCTTAGGGCAGAGTTATTGTAAAGTTTCGACAACGGGAAAAAGATGTACTTGATCAAATTGAAATCAAGGACCTTGGAAGCTTCGGGTATGGCTTCAAGGGTTGAATGCAAACTGTTGATGTTTCGAATGACCTCTTGAATTTTTTCGCGAGAGGTTGTGGTGGAGTTCATGAGAGATAAACATAAAGGCCTCAACTAATGGGCGTTTCCGTCAAATATTAAAATTGCTATTATTCATTTTTGTTTCCAAAGTTGAATAATAGGGATTTTAAGAAAAACATCCAACCTGGAGGAATGCTGCTTGACGTTGTTCGTCAAGATCACTTTCGGCGGTACTGACGGAAGACATCTGAAGGAGTTAAGTATCAGTGTTTTCGGGCAATTTCGTCCTATTTATAATTTTTTGGTATGACAAGGCACCTGACCAGATTTAGAAAACGCGTGACACAAGATTTGCAAATATGAGACGCGACTGATTTTCAAAATTTGAGTCGAAGATTTATATGTGAGCAAATACAACGTTTTTATCAACAGGTTTTTAAAAGAAAAAAAATAAGATTATAGCACTTTTCTTTACAAGTTCTAGTTCTCTAGCAATATTACGAGTAATTCAAGTACTGCAAAATGGCACCAACGAAATCACCCGAAGATTCAATGTTCCGTACCCTTACTTTTGAAGCAGGTTTAAAGTTGGAAGGCTCCGCAGAGGGAGTTCACGAGCTAGGTATTGCCATCCACTATCATTAATACTATTTGGTCTCTACGCGCCAGAATTGACAAGCACGTGACATTAAACATTGCTTACTGAGTCACTTTTTACGTCGCCGGCAGTGGTGGAGCCTTCAACATTTCGTCTCAATCTCGTACAAAATATAAAAAATCACTCACAATATCCTGATCCGGCTATCGGAAAATTCCTCGAGGAGTTACAGGATTATCTGGACGAGAGTTCAGAAAATTTCAAAGCATGCTTACAACCACCCTCGGTGAAAGGAAAATCGATATAGTAAGTCGATATGATACTACCCATATGTAAAGCGAATTATCAAGATCTTAATATTTGATGAATTCATTTGAAGTGGCTCTACAGCAGATAGCTTCATTCGCGTATTATTGAGCGTTGATTTTTTTCAAGCCAATCTAATCGATCAATTATTGGAAAGACTACCAACATTTATCTCAAATTCTGATAATGATATTATCGAGTCGCCAATTCCACGGTTGATACTTCAGCAATTAAAGTGGCTTGATAATATCGTGGATCCAAAAAGACTAACAGAAAAGATATTGGAGGTGAATGATGATAGGATTTTTTTCGTTCGTTTTTTTTTTTTTTTTTTTTTTTTGCGTCATATTTCAATATTCATATTATTTTTGAAGATGATCCCCATTACGCCTCTAGGCATTCAAAGAGAAATTATAACCAGTCTTCCGGACATTATCCTTGATTCAGAGCAAAAGGTGCGTGAGAACTTGCTTAATTCAAGATCCTTGCCGCGATTAACGTCGAAATCTCTTTGATGTCAGACCGCTATCAAAGAACTGACTGAATTGATCGACCAAAATCACCGACTTATTGTTCCCATTCTTGACGCGCTTCCTCATTTCACATTGCAAGAAGATTTGATGGCTAATGTTAAGGCAACGGTATTTGGACGACTTGAATCGGCCGACTTAGATGACCTAGCAATAATCGTCAAGTTTTTGTTGCACACGGCCTCGCCGAACGACGCAGAAATTGTAATAATCTGCATACTGTAATCCCATGCATCTATTAAATTGAGTCATTATTTTGATAATTTTGATAAAATTTTCAGGTGGTGCGACAGATCAGAGACAAAGTTGATTTTCATTCAATTGGAAAACTTCAGGGCGAACAAAGTGTTTCAAAGCGTCGCCAGAAGAGGAAAAGAGAACTAATGCCAGAGGCCTTGATCCTGGATTCTATCAAAAAGGGTTTGAACATTCACAAGTTCGTCACGAACGCGTGGCTTAAGGAAATAAGTGACATTGAGGCAGAGGTGAGAACGCTCATATCATATTCTGCACATAAGGACATCTCAGGTTGCTAATTCCGCGCTTTTTTAATATTACCAACAGAAAGATCACAAGATCATTGATATTTTGATATTGTTTCTTCTGCATTCGATTCCAATCCTTAAGAAAAAAGTTGAAGCAATTTTTTGCAAAAAGATCTCGAGCGGACTATTGTCAAAGAATTTATTAGAAACGACGATAACTTTTCACTTTGAAGGCTTGCGAGATTATTTCAACGATATCATCTCGCTTTCGGAAAGCCTCCTTCGTTCAAGCCAAAATCAAAACACAGTTGCACGCGCGGCATGCACATTATATCGAAGCGCATTTATGGTATTCGAACCACATCAGCAGCAAGAAGTTATAGCTTCCCTGGTGTCGCACATCGGGAGCGGTTCCCCGACCGAGATTGAATCAACGCTTTCAGTGCTCTCGCATCTTGTAGATAAGGATATAAAGAGGCTGAGTCGATTTACTATTTTTGTAAAAGGTCTTCTGGATTATTTGGAAAATCTTAACCTGGATCATATACGAGTCCTTTTCGATATAATCGGAAAGTTAGTCTACGAGGTAATTAATTAGTTGACGATCTGGCGTTTATCAGCGATCGAGTAATAAATTTTTTATCGGCATCCGCTACGCATAGGATGCAAACTATGATAGTAACAGCGGTGGACTGCTTGCTGAATTTTCGATTGTCATTCAAAAGCAATTGTCGAACCCTAATGAGAAATATAAGCAAATTGGTGTAATCGGAGCTCTCGCTTTAGTGCGAATTCTGGGCTCCAAGTCGACCGTAAATTCGTCACAGGAGGGTACGTGAAAACTTATCTATTAGATACAAACTCGGATAATTAACTAATGTCAGCGATTTTATTTACAAATAGGCACCGCTCAGGAAAGGTCAACCGCAGCCCTAGATATTGCAAAAGAAAACATTGCAAAGATCGAACGTCACTGCGCGCGTTCAATGGTATTCTAATCGTTACAGTAATTGCATCAATCGTAATCTTTTATTTCCTTATTTGTGAAACGAATATTTTTTTAACTTCAAACATCCTACAAGTCATGCCTCGCCTTTGCGTACGACGAACTTGCGTATTACGTTTCCACCGGAATTCTGGATCGCGAATTGGTCGATTGGATATCGGACAAGATAGAATCATCATTTTCTGATATATTCATAGTGGATGAAGAAGATTTGTCCAGGTTTAAAGAAGACGAGTATCATCTGAAGGGAATGCCAATAGAAGCTTGGATGGAGTGTGAAATGGAATGCGATGTGAGGATGAATCTTCTTACTATTTCGAATTGGCACAGAAAAAAAAAATTTTTTTTTTTTTTTTTTTTTTTTTTTTATTTATTTATTAATCATGGTTGCTATGTCAGGCCGAAGAAAAAATAAAGATCAATATATATCCTATGTTATGTGAGATATATGTTCCTGCAAATTTACGCGCGCAACATTCTATAAGACGGGATTACATCATATGTTGTTGTTCCATGTTGCGATTGATGCAGGCTAGCCGGAAATTCAAGGAAGATGGTAATTTATATTCCATCGGTGTTTTGTTGGCCGCAGGATTGCTCATGTATGAAAGCTTGGATGCGAACGTAATGAATATGATACATTTAATTATTTACCGGTTCTTTACGCACTCTCCTCAATTGAATTCTTTCTCGCTTCCATTTCTTTAGGACATGAAATCCAGTGATTATTCAAGAGAAATGCGTGAGACAGTTTGCAATTCGCTATTTTATTCCATAAATTGGTATGATGAGATACATGTATGGGAATGCATATTGCGTGTAGGTTCACGAGTTATTCACATTTTACCGAATAACCGGATCTTTTTGTTAGGTGCCGTGAGACCATAAGCGATTTTTGGGGTCAAGATAAAGACATTTGCAGTAAGCGCACCCAAATTACGTGTCTTTCTGAAATTTGAATGTAGATTAATTATTCAATTTCTTTCAGAAAATGTTGCTACGAGGCTGCGGCACGTTGTTGAGCTTGAGAAGAGGTTGAATGCGGTGTTAGAAATAACTCCTACTTTTCAGCCATATGGATTTTTTACGCCCTCACCGTCAAAGAGTGTAAAGTTGAAAAGTGTCGCTACTATATCATCGGGTTTTGCGCAGAGAGGTCTGGTTAAAACGGGTAGGACGATCCGAAGATCGAGAATTAGCAAAAGTAAGATCCTCAGCGCTGCCCGAACTTCCGAGGTTGAAAAAAATGAGGAGAACAAGATTTCCGAGGATTCTATGATCCCCAAGTACTCATCGGTTGAAGATCTAAGACCGTTAATGCGTGAATTTGATTTGTCAGTGTTTGGTATGCTTGAATATTTCCGCGTTAAAAGGCCTTCGCGTGACAAGGATAGTGGATCCGCAGTGAGCACAAATAATGGCTTTCATTTGTTGCCCGAGGAAATCGTCTACCTGCTCAATGATCTTAATCGTAAGCTCGAATTCAAGATTTCCCCACCGGTCTTGCCCTTGATTGCCAAAAAAGCCAAGAAAGGTGGATTTGGAAGCAAGCACGACGGATTCACTTTAATTTCTCGCCTGAGTTCATTGGACGTTGTAACGCAGGTTGCCACCGGATTCGTTCCACACTTATTGAACCTATTGAGCTCTATCTGCGAAGAATTGAGCAACGACGGCGACGTAGAAAAGGAAGAAGATGAGCATGAGATTTTGCTTCGATGTTTGGAATTAATACTCGAAATCATTCACCGACTAATAAGTTGGCCTGAACTGAAGTCTCCAGACAACAAGGAAATCTTGATTATCGTCATGAAACAGCTGGGTTCAATGGTTCAACCGTCTCCAAGTTCAGAGTCCACGCTCGGTAGTCTCGACATTCTTCAGCGGGCTGCTAGCAATACATTTAAATACTTTCAAGATTTTGTACCTCGTCTTCCCACGGTGAACTTGGCCATACTGTTTCACAAAATTCTTATCAAGGTCACTGAACTTTCACCGGATTCCAGAAAGCTCGCGGAAATGTCAGGAGACATAGCACGAGGTTTCGTATCCCGTCAATGGAACGATGTCAAAAAATTAAATTCGGAGTCCGTGATTTACCTTGTGCAAAAAGACGTCAGACACTCTTCGAACCCTATGGAGAGGATAGCGTCTTATGCCACAAGCATCTTTTCTCCGAATGAAGCCCATGAGGATGATCCCACCGAGTTGTATCCTTTACTCAACAACGAAACTCTACCATATTTTTACAAGGCCTTGTTCATGGAGCTTGTCGAAGTTTTGCGAAATTTTCAGCCCGGAAATTTTGAACATAATGCGGACATAATGTCACACATAACCAGCACAGTTGTCTGCTTTCAAAACTTTGTATTGTTCATAAAGATCAAGCATAAGCGAGCCATTCTCTCGGTAGCTCTGAAATACGGGCGTAGCTTTATAGACATGTTCCTTAAAAAAATGTTACCGTTAATGGACAAAAACTTTTCCACCTATCGTGAAGAGATCATTTCCATTATCGGAACCTTTCAGAAATCAACCAGGCGTCTCCAGGTAACAATAATTTTTACATTGCCGAGCAAAGGATCCAAGTTTGATTCACCCATGTTTTATCTATAACCGCGTCTTTTGCAGGCACTCTGCAATCACGTGAAAGTTCACAAAGAATCACAACTGGCGGCAATGGTGCCTCTCGTTAAAAGATCATTGGAAATAGTGATATTTCAGGTCAAGGCCATGATCCAAAATAACGGATGTCCACCGGAAACATTTTTCCTAGGCGAACTTAAACATCGTGACATTGAGGGACAAGAAATCACATCTTATCAAAACGACGAAGTTAATTCCGAATCGGATGAAGACGAGGACGATGACGGTGACGACAATGATGTCGAGCAGATGGATGAAGAGGATGAGGAAGAGGATGAGGAAAAGGATGCGGAAGAGAATGAACATGAAAATGACGAAGATGATGGTACCATCAGAACATCTGCCAAACGTAACAAGCAAAATTTGGAAAAAGATGAATCCGAAGATTCCGAAGGAAATGAAGGCGATGGATTTACGAAGCCTTCCTCCTCACGCCGTAACAAGTCCGGTTCAAGAAAGAAGAAGCCCGAAACGTCGCGTGATTCCGATGGAGAAGTTGATGCGGTCTCTGTTAAACCACCTGCTAGGCGCCGCAAAAAATTGAGTCCAAAGAAAGCCAAGACGCCGGAGAATTTCGAGGAGAGCGAAGGTGTGGATGACGAAGAGATCACCGTTGAGTTGCCCAAAACACGTAAAAGGCCAAAGAAAAGTAAGGCCGAGACATCGGAAGAAAATGAAGATATGGAGGTAGACGAAGCTGAGGACGAAGATGACGAGGTCGAAGCAGAAGAAAAGAAGAATCACCGCAGAAGGCGCAATATATTCATACTCGATGAAGCGGATGATGATGATGATGATGACGACGATGATGATGAATCGGAAAACTCTAATAGCAAGAGGTCTCGAGTGTCCTCGTCGACATCTTCCGCTTCATCTGCGCAAAAGCGGAAAAACGCGCGCAGCATTAAAAGACGTGTACAATGATGATACTTTCATTCATGGACTTTGTTCCGACATAATAATAATAAAAGTGTGTTATTTCCTATAATTTTACCCGCAAAAAAGATTTACCACCAACTAGAGTTAAATTTATTATCAGGAATCTTGAATAAAGTGAACATCATTTCTGATTCGCATTATCTTCGTGGTTAAAGGTGAAGCGACAATGTTTTCTTCGCCGCATCTTGAACTCATGTACATACATATATATAGTATATACTGTATATATATCAATCACGCAGCTGTGAACGTAGAAACATGCTAACTTTTTACGCAATTTTTTTTTTCTTTTATTTTATATTTGATGTATATATACTACTTTTCTGTACATATGTATAAATATATGTATATATATATATATATATATATTTGATGAATTGTGATGCGAATTATTATTATTATTTTTTTCTGTTTTTTTTTTTTTGCAATAAAAAAATTGTGCTCTTTAATTGACGCCTTTCGGCTTCCTATTATAGCCACGCACGGATTCTGATTGCGTCATGTTCACGTGATAGAGCGCACACAATCATACCTGGGTGTCCATATCTAAGCCACCCCAGATTCTATTGGAAATTTTAGGTTCGGGATCCGAATCATCTGTCACAACTGGCTTTAGATCAATGGTGGCAATTGAATTTTGGAGGGAATTCTTTCGCATAATGAAATTGTGACGTTTCCGTTCTTTGGAAGCCATTGCCTCGGCATCCATTCTCGCAAATTCATCCTCACCAATATTACCGTTGATGACGTTTAGCCGTAACTCGGGATTTTTGTTATCTTTCAAATTCCAAACCTTACTTCGAGCAGTGTCCTTATATTGTTTGTTCACTTGGAAGTTACAGTCATGATAAATACACTGTTCAATTTTTCTTGCCTTTTCGGCCAGTTCATCTTCACTTAGGAACGTAGAGTTCCCTAAGAGAGCCTGATGAAGCATTTTTATAACATTGTCACGGATTTTATCACCGGTAGTAACTTGAACGGGCATCTTATGTTAATGTCACGTGTCAACACTGTCACTAAATCAGATCAAAAAAAAAATTTTTTTTTTTTTCCCGAAAAAAAAAAATTCAGTATTCCTGAGGAAAACAGAGTTTAGGTAAGAGAAATTTATGACTCGAGTTATAGAGCAGCAGTAGTAGTAGTAGAAATACTGCTAATGTAAGATGACTTAATTTGAACTAGACGGACAAATGAAGATAAAAGAGCTCATGGAAAAAAGAAAGCAAATTTCGGGACCTATTTATAGGGTTTTCAGGTGCACGGTTTGTCAACAGAGAATTATGGGACCGTACGGGCGTAAAACGCTTTTTAGACTTGTGCATTAGAAATTACTTTTTGTGGATGATAACAACATCGCCGAATTGCCAGCTGACCCGTATACTTGACTCGACCTTTTTAGGTTTATCATTGTTGATACAATCTTTAAAACCTCACGTGATTTTGTCTACTGACAATCTAGTCCACGAAAATGAGACGCGCTAACCGCTAAATAATTAAAATTACGCACGTATGTGCTATTAGGGGTACAAAGAGTACAAGCTTAATACGATGTTACGGAACAAGTTGTTCTTGGAATTTATCGGATGAATTTATTTTATGCTAACCACATCGATTTCGACACCAGTCGTATTTACACACGCGAACACGTATATGGAAATTTCTGTGTTCATCATAATTACGACTACCAATGTTTCAGAGGTCTTGATCTTGTGCACGAGAAAAAACAATTAGCATCCAAACGGATAATATGATCTTGCCGATTGTCCTACAAATAATATCCTTTTTAAAATTTGTGATTTATTAGAGCAATGATTGGCCATGCAGGACCAAGGTTTAGGTTAGGGGCTTGGTTACAGATGTCCTTTATTTATTTTTTTTTTTTTGTTTTTTTTTTTTCAATCAACTCTTTTGGAAATACGTGCTGTACGTTGACGTGATATTGAATTCTTACTGTTTATCCAAAATATGGCGCCACCCCTATTACGTCTCCGATTTTTACTCTCGATACTCTTGGCAACAGCATTCCTTTACATCCTTTGGCCAGGAAACTTTCACTCTTGTAAACAAAATGTTTGTCCTCAAAAAACGATCGGAAATTCAAACTCGGCGCCAGGACCTCTAATCGATTCAACGAGGTCCACCATTATAACTGATCATTCTGGCGCCTTAAAAGAGTACCTGAACCCAAAGGGCTACATCACCTTTCTCAGTATATGGAAGAAACAACATGAAGCGATGGTTAAAAGTCTCGTGAGAAGTGCAAATATTGCCGTTGCGAATAATAGCGTCTACTCGGTAACACTAAAACCACAGTTACCACCATCCGGCGACCCACATGACTACATGTCACTGGGTAGATACTTTTGGCCAGATCCAACGAAACCCGACGGTCTACCGTACATTCGCAAAGACGGCTACCCCAATCCCGAATTTTTTACCGTTACCGATTACGTCTACCTAAGATTGATGTTCAGGGAAGTTCAAGATCTGGGATATGCCTACTTCTTTACTCGTAACGAAACTTACGTGACCAAAGCCATGTACCGAATACGAGAATGGTTCTTGGATCCGAAAACAAAGATGAATCCGAACTTGAACTATGCTGGATTTCGAAAAGGCCTAGTGTCAGGATGGAAAACCGGTGTTCTAGACTTTCATCAAGTGTTCAGGTAAGGTTTGACCGTTTACCCGGTGATCGCCGGATTCCTCTCTCTAACTTCAAATTTTCAAATACCCTCATCAGAATGTTACAAGCCATTCCGTTGTTGAGGTATTCTCATCAGTGGGACCCAAGCATTGAGATTGGCTTGAAGGCATGGATGGTGGATTATTATAATTGGTTTACGACTTCTAAAATGGGAAGGGGAGAAGGTAAAGCGTTGAATAATCATGGTACATTTTACGATGTGCAAGCCTTATTTTTACTGGGTTACCTTGGTCGCTACGAAGAGGCAAAAACTTTTGCTCTGCAATCTCTTAAAAATCGTGTCGACAAAGGCATCCTTCCAACCGGTCAACAACCTCACGAGACATCAAGACCCACAAGTTGGTTCTACTCCATTTTTAATTTGCAAGGATTATTTCTCCTCGCAGAGAGAACCGATCACTATGGCATCGACGGTTGGAATTATGTGGGACCAGAAGGTCAGAGTATCAAAAAGGCTGTTGATTTCCTACTGCCTTATGCACTAAACGACGGCGAAGGATGGCCGGTAAAAAATATCAAGGGATTTGAGATGAACGATTATGTTAAGATACTAGAACTGTCCTACATTATTTATGGTGATGAGAAATACCTGGAGGCCGTCGAAGAACTGAGGCCAAAGGCCAAGGTGGAACAAGCGGCTGGCGTGAGATTAGCCAAATGGGAAGACAATTATCTATGCGACATGGCTTTAATGTCTAATAGATTAATTTGGAGTTGCCTGAGTTAGAATCAAAAAAAAAAAAAAAATTATACATAATTATACATATATTGACATAATAGAAGGCATGCAGTTTAAAATTTCATACCGATTCTGTCCGACCTAAGCAATTCCGTCGGGTCCCAAAGGTCACACGATAGATCAGATGTTAAGATAATAAACTCGTGAAATTTGGGAAAAAATCGATATGCAGTAAATAATTCGAAAAATGACGTCCATGACGCAATCATTTTGTTATAAGAGTGGTGTGTAAAATAATTGCGTCAAAATGACTGCGCGTCATCGAATGAATTAAGTGATGCAGGGTGCTGCAATTAATATATTTTTCACGTGACCGGAACGCTGCCCGCCGTGGCAAACTGCACACAAATAATATTTTCTCGGCCTTAAATCATTCGTTCTCTGAAAAATGCTGCACCGGCTATTCTTGCCTTCTACAGTGCCAACGGCTGTGTCTGTAATTTTATCAACGGAGACCGTGCCACGAATTTCTTTTCTTTTTTTTTTGTATTCTTCACGTGTTTTTGTGGGTGCGTCAGCTATATTTGCCCGTGTTCTTGGAGATACTGTATGCTCGCGTGGCATTACAGTTGTGCCGTATTCTTCAGAATCAGGAAAAGCAAAAAAAGTTTTTGCATCAAAATTCCCTACTTAGTTGTCGCCTTCGAAATCTTTATCAATAAACTGCCCTTCACTGCTTGCTATGCCTCTTTTGGATGTAAAGGCAAAAAGATGTGTAGTCGCTGTCGAATATGTGCACATGGTGGGTATAATTTAGTGAAGCATAGGACTGGAATGCTTCCAAATTCATAGAAATCTTTTTCGGTACCATACAGTCTTCGAAACTTGCAATCACCTCCGCTGGCAAATACTTTGGGCACAGTTTCAGAGCATGGCAAAAAATACCAGTCCTGCGATGTACTACTTAACCGGTTGCAGTAAATTGCCCTTGCTGTATAGAAGAGGGCAATGTTTCCCTGGCCACTGGTTTGCGGCGCCGCAATGCTTCATGTATCGATACCCCACGCATACAATTGCGGTGAACTGTGACAACAAGGTTGCAATTTGTATCCCGTTTTTCGCAGCTCTTGCTTTTTGTTATCCGGCGCGGGCACAGATTTTGGACCTTTGCCTGTGGTATACCTGTGTCAAAGGGTGGCGTATTGCCTTCGTATAGAAAAAAACCATAATAATGTCCTTCGTAGTTTGGAAGTTGATCAAAAATGAGCTCTTTCATCGCCGGCCAGACGTGTAAAATTTTTGCTTACCTGCCAACACGAAGGCGATAATAGCACCCCAATTTTTATATAATTCTTCATGAAATACTTAGATATTCTTTTTTCAGATTTCGCACGAGCTGTTTATATTTACCGTGTGTGAGTTTTGCGGTATTCAAGAATCAGTCAAAGTTGTTAAAATTAGAGTGCTTCGGTAAGCATATTTTCGTTTTTGTTAGCAAAAACGGGCAGAACCTGCCAATGCATTCTCTACAAATCGTCCTAAATTTTCATTTGTTTATATGTTGTCCAGCATTGCTACACAAATATCACAGCTGTACACATACTGGGCTATTTCTCGAGGAATTTGGAAAGTGCTCCTGCCACAGGCTCCTCATGCTGGAGAGGTGGGCACGTATCACAAAAACGAACCAAGATTCCATATTCCGTGTTTCTGTCACGCTTTTTCCCTGTACCTTTTGTACAGTACATGTGCTGTTTTCTTGAACGGGTGCAAATTTCTGGCAACAGAAAACACGCAATTCGTATAAAACACATGCAAAAAAACTATAAAAAAAAACTGACAATTTGCAGATATTATTTTCTTCTAATCTTGTTTCCAGCTTTTCAAACATAGAGATTCACACACTGTCCAGCATAAGACTATTCCTTAGATTCGTAACAGTATGGGTTGTAAGAGAAAATGCCAGCTTACTCGGAACACTAGTGCCTTGTTCTATTAAACGGTTTCTTGCAATTTTGCCAAGTATAGGAAACTCATGTTCAAATTTTTGGCAATATTTTATAGCAGCTTTTCACGATTAATGTGTTAAAAAGTTTTTTAATTTAGAACAAGAATTATTTATCAATGATTTTTTGATATTAATACTTACATGTATCTATTTCATGGCTTGGCAAATACTAATACTGAAGACATTACAGTAGTAACAATATATAATAGCAATTAAGTGACAAATAAACTTTAACCAATTTTTGATTATATATTGTTCAATATCTATTATTTATTTTTTTAATATTTCATCTCATTCTTATTATTATCTATTAATAATTTTATTCTCTTAAACATCGATCTTATTAATTTTTAATGACTTTATATTAATCCTTTTCCTTTATTACTTTTTTAAAAATATTTTTTTATAAATCTTAAAGTTAATATTTTTTAATAAAGCTTTCATCTATCTAATGACAAAAAATAGACAACTAAGTATATATGAACATTGCTTTTATAATAAATTAAAAATTTTTTATTTTCTATCGAGTTAACTATTTATGTATTATTAAATTTTTATTAATTATGTAAATAATAATATATATCACTAAAATTAATTTCCTAACTCACTAGTATTAGTAATAATAACTTTAAATATAGTTTTAAAAGTAATATATTACTGTATTAATGGTTCAAATAAAAATTATTTTACTTGTTAATAGGATTGTTTATAAATTATTATTAAAAATTATTATTAAATTTTAATAAAAATTAAAATTATATCAAATTTAAATTCTTTTGTTATATTTTTGATAAAATCTTTATTTTTAAAAAAAATTTTTTGATCTTTATATAGATTCAAATAAATAGTTTTAAAGGAATATATTTTTTAATTTATTTTCTTATTATATTTCAAAATGTTTTCACATTATTTTTATTCAATTATCTTTTCATATATTATATTTTAAATTTTTTTTTAATATAATTAAAAATTGTTTTTTATATTTTTAAATATTTTTTTTTTTTATTTTTAAACTTATTTGTTGGTTATAATATTATGATTTCTCTTGAACTCTTTCCGCTAATCCTCTAACCATACACAAAAAAGACGTTCATAGAAGTCCTATTACTTTTATGCTAACAAAGTCTTAACACTGTGATCAAATTTATATTTGATCGGTGTTCCAAGTGGAATTGTTTTTAAAAGGACAATTCCCCTCAAAAAAATTAAAGAAATAGTTTATAATAAAGAAATATTCAAGAAGAAATTCACCAAAAATCCTTTAAACAGTGTTATACAGTATTTCACAAGAAATATGGTTCACTCAAAACTCAAGTTTATTAATAAATCAAGAAAACTAGGACAATTCCTTTAGTCTTAAAATCAAAAGAAGATATCCAATCTTCTAAAAGAAAAGTGAAGTTATTCTTAAACTTCCAAAGTCAAATAAAGTTATCTATAAACTTTCAAAGTCAAGTGAAGTTATCATCAAACTTATACTACTTTTGAGTGAATTATAACTGCTTATATATTGATAAAAATGGACCACTTGAGTCACTTGGGCCTCCTAGACCTCCTGGACTACCTGATTTATGGTAAATTATATCACATACTACATTTGATAAAGTGATCTATGCTAATCAAGTACCAATAAGAATATCAAAGAATATCAAAAAAATAATTATAAATAAATAGATAAAAATAGAAATAGAATGAAAATCATGATTAAAAATAACTATCCAATAGTAGTAGATGTTATTTTTATTATAGCACTTTCTTTAAACCAACCTGAAAGGATTTTCTTCAGAACTTCACTACTTCCTTTCATATTGTTTACAATCTTTTTTGAAAAATACTGGACTCTCGTGACCTGCAAAGTCCAGCACTCACCTTAACTACCAATGGCAAGAAAGTTCCTCAAGGGAGAAAGATCAACAGCAAAGTATCTGCCACCTATCAGTTGAAGTAGAGGATCAAAACAATACTTGAGAGAGAGTTTCTCCCATTCAAAGAACTCATTTTCCACTCTTTGAATGGTTGTATGTTCTCTTAGAGCTACTACCTTTTACGGCTTTTGGGGGAATTTTGCTTATCCCAGCTTGATCCTGAAATTTCGAGTAGCACAAATTCCACTGATTCTGATTGGTCAACACAAAACGCGTTGGACAAAATTGATAAACAAGCTCTCATTGGCCACCTTATGTGTCTGAATGCATTTCCTCAGTCCTATAAGAACCTGGGATCCACCATAAGTCATATACTCTGGTGCAAGTGGATATAGGACACTGCAATCTTCTAAATCATTGACCATCAAGAAAGAGTAAACAAGCCCATAGACTGTTCACCCCGCGAACTATGCAGAAAGATAGACCTAATCACCCACAAAAATACAAGGGTTATATAAAACAGTTTTTTAATAATGTGTGACAGGAGTTTCATGACACAAGACTATGTCCTAAACAAGACACAGAATAGATTCATACTTTTTTTTTTTTCTTTTTAGCACTAACAGGATCTTCAGACCTTATATAAGAAACCCTCAACATCAATGGTGCTGAGCATTTTAGGCAAGTTCTTGATATGCTAGTTTCTTCCAAAAGAGTAACAACAAGCTATCCTATAGAATCCCCTAGAAAGCACCGGTTTGCGATAAGGGAGTACAATTTGTGTCCCATTAGTTTGATAGCATACATTCACCTCCTTTCAACTTTGTTAAGAGTTAAGAGTAATTCTACACTAGATGATAATATAGTTCTCCTATTTTGGTCAGGTGAGGTATAAATAGATACCCTTTGTACTATTTGTTGATTTGTAAATCCTTAGACAGTACAGGTAATTAATAATCCCAGTTATCCCTAGAACATATCTTAATAATTAATAAAGGAACCAACCTGATACAAGGATGAGCTAGCATTTTAAAAAAAAAAATATGATTTCTCTATTTCTTTTATTAAATTTTTTCTTATTAAACCTATATAAAAAATTTAATATTTTTTTAAACCTATGATCATGTCATAATGACTTGTCTTTATTGAGAAATTAAAATAAAATCTATAATAGT